ATCCCAGGTTAAGCTTCTGTTGATTGTAGAAGTTCGGGGGGGACGGAGATTCGAGTTCCTCATCAGGGTCTCCTTCGTCTGGATGGGTCTCATTGTGGCGTTCCATGATCTCGTCGAATTTTCTGAGGCTTTTGTGGAGGCTTTCGCAGTTGAATGGTTCCGAGGATGGATCCTGTTCTTGGTCTAGCTCGTCTTCCAAGTCTGTTAGGGGGTCAGCTTCCAAAATAATCGGTTGATTGGTCGATGGAGTCTGTTCTGAAGTGAACACGTCATCTTCTAGTTCTCCAGTTGAGTCCCCCTCTACAGACACTTCCAGTTCTGCCTTCTCCGATGCGGTTGCACTTGGTTCCAGAGGAGTCTTTGTGGATTCCAATATGTCGTTGCTAGGAATAGCCACTTCTTCGGGTACCTCAATGACAGCTTGAGGTGATGAAGCTGAGGCTGGCGGGGTCCCTTGAGGAGCTTCCATGTGAGGTCGGGCTCCGGTTGTTGGACTTGGAGTAGTCTCTTCAAGGGTTTCAACGATTGGTTGAAGACTGGTTGTAGGGGTAGGAGTGGCTTCGTCCATGGGTGGTGACCTTGTTGACCTTGCTGAGTTGCGGTTGATGTGAAGGCAATATTCCCTATTGTCTCGGTAGCTGATAGGCTTCCTGGTGTCGTCAGATGTTTGAGTAGCCCTTCTGAGTCTAACTCTATCAGTAATGGAGCCCTTGATGTTGATAACGTCAGGTTCACTGTTGATCCTGACCCTGAGATGCGGGTTGGTGACTGTCCGAGGAGGTTTCAGGCATGGTCTGGATGGAAGCTTAGTGTTGATTGGCAGACACACGGTGAGAAGTACCGGTTCGGAAACCTGCGTTTCCAAAGGGTTTTCTGCGAACGCCTCAGCCAGTTGAGCGCCTTTCTGTTTCCTGATTTCTACCTCGAATGAGTAGTCATTCAGGAACGTCTTCCAATTCACCTGGCGGATCGTCGGGTTGCTTGAATCCATCAGCCAGTTTAAGGAGGAGCTGTTCGTGACTACGGTGAATGGTACCCCGTAAATGTATGGCCTGAAGTAATTTAGAGCATACATGACAGCTAGGCAATCGACCTCCGCAGGTGTATACCTGGTCTCCGCATCTCGAAGGGTCCTGGAAGCGTATAGGATCGGGTATTCATCCCCTTCTTCGTCTTTTTGACTTAAAATTGCTCCAATTCCCTTAGATGTTGCTGAGACGTTGACGATAAATGGTTCGTCCATGTCGGGGTGGAATAACAGGGAGTCCTCGGTGATCGCCTTCTTCAGGGCCTCGAAAGCTTTCTCATGTTCTTCGTTCCACTTGAATTTCGTATCCTTCCTCAAGAGATTTGTGAGGCTTTGGATTTTTCTGCGTAGTCCTCTACAAATCTTCGGTAATAATTGCTGAAGCCTAGAAATCTCTGTACCCCATGTTGACTGGTCGGTGCCGGCATTTCCCTCAAGGCCTTGACCTGCTTTGGTGGATTCCCTTTTTATCGATGACGTGACCCAGATAGGCGACTTCTTTCTTGAAGAAATTGCACTTGTCTGATTGAAGAGAGAGTCCACCTTGTCTGAGGCGGTTGAAGAGGTTGTTGAGTCGTTTGACATGATCTTCTTGGGTTTTTGAATAGATGACTATATCGTCGAGGTAGACGTATAGTTCGGTGCCCTTTAATCCAGTGAGAACATGGTCCATCATTCGTTGGAAGATTGGTGGGGAATTCTTCAGTCCAAATGGCATTCTAGTGTATTTGTAATGGCCCTCTGGTCTGGTAAATGCTGTCTTTTCGCCGTCCCTTTCATCCATCCTTATTTGATGAAATCCGCTAGCGAGGTCGAATACACTGAAGTATCTGGCTTCTCTCAGCTGTGACAAGATTGTCGTGATGTCAGGCAGAGGGTACGAATCTCCAATGGTCTTCTGGTTGAGAGCTCTAAAGTCAATCACAAGTCTCCAACGTTTCCTACTTTGGGAGTCGCTCTTCTTGGGAACGATCCATAGTGGTGAATTGTAAGGAGATTCTAAGTCCTTGATGATGTTTTGTTCCTTCATAGACTTAATCTGTTTGTTGATTTCCTCTCGATGTTGCTGGGGATATTTGTATTGTCGTTTGAAGACAGGGACTTCATCCGTTGTTCGAATTTTGTAGGTGAAGTCTTTGGCGTATCCCAGGTCATCTCCAGGCAGATGGAACACATCAGGGAATTGTTCTACCAGTCGGATTACTTGTTTCCTCTCGAATGTCTTAAGGTCCTGCTCTGACAAAGCCTTCAGAATTTCAGCAACTCTTTTGTTCAACAGTTCTTCCTCACAGGGGAGTAGACCTAGGTTGCAAGTGGCCATGCGAATCCGCCTGGTGTTGGTTCGTCTGAAGAAGGCTTAGAGGTTTCATCGAAAGGTTCAATCAGTTGGGGTGATAACTGTAGTTGGACCGGTTCCTCAGTGGTGTTGATCACCATAGCTGTAGCCACGTTGTCTTCCACTTGGACCACCGCTTCTCCCAAGAATATTCCGGATGGTGTGTTTACCTTGGGTAGGTAGCCAATTTTCACCTCGGAGTTTTCGAGGAGTCATCCCTGATGATGGCCCCGTAACCACCAGATTGGTGGGTGATCACGTGGAATTTGACCGCCACCTTGGGATGTATTGGGAGCATTATTATTCCCAATGATTGGACGACATGGTTGGTCAGTCCAACGATTCCAATGGTCTCTTCGATATCAATGGTGGTATCAGAGTTTAGCGACTGGAGAGATAGTAAGTTGACCGATGCTCCGGTGTCAATGAGTGCAGTGATTTTTCCCGATTTCAAATAGGGTCCGTTTAGGGCAATCATTGGTCCATGACAGGGTTCAGCAACAGCTACCTTGTACACTTTTATTGGCGGTGATGAGTGCTGGACATCGCGTGTGGCGATGGGTTGTTCTGGCTGCTCAGTGCACTCTGCTGGCGAGCCAGGATCCCGTGTAAATTCTGGGCTGACGGAAGTTGAACTGGACTGGGTGTTCCTGGACTGGTTGAGCTGGTAGGGGTTCCTTCAAGTCCGAAGTTCCTGCTCCGGTCTCTGGAACGGTCTCTACGGGGTGTTGCTCCTTGGGACCCTCCCGCCTTGACGTGAGTCAGCAATTCCTTGACGAGAGAACTCAAGCTGTCGAAGTCTCCTCTCAAGTCGTCGAAGTGCTCCTTCCTGACGTATTCTTGCCTTGGTGCTTCAGGGGGTTTCCGTGGTTTTGCCATCATGGTTGTGGCAAGGGGTTGAGCCAGGCGGTCATCCGGTTGCAAGAAGTCCTCATACTCGTTGGCGAACTCGGGGTGGCGATGTTCCGGTAAAGAGAAGTCATTCCCGGTCTCGGGAGTCCCTCTCCAGGAGCGCGGCTCTGGTTGTGCGCCCCATTGCGATGTGTCTCCTGGGTAGGTGTATCCCATCATCACTCTTGGGTGGAGGTTCCTCGTTGAATTGGGCATTGGAGGTCCTGGTGGATTCACCGATGGTCTCTGCTGGCCCCATGGTGGGGTGCTCCTTGGTGCGATCCGGGTTGGAGGACGGTATCTATTCATGAGCTCGTCCACAAGAGGATCCGGAGGGCGTTGAAGTCTTCCATTCGGTGGTTACGAGTAATGGAGGCTGTTCGACGGAGTTGGTGTGAGCATGTGGGCGTGGGATTGATTTTGCCCTTAGTAGACGTTGTTGTGGGTAACATGACGGGTAGGCTGGTGTAGAGGGTAATCGGCTTTGTCCACTGGAGTTGGTGTATCCCTGTATGGACGGATACTGGGACGTATAGTTGGCTTAAATTCGTCGGCGTCCACCTTCGTTCGGACGTCAAAGATCTTGGTGACCTTGTGATGTTTGATACCGTCCTTAATACTTTGTGGACTGTACTCCTTGAATCTTGCGAGGGCATCCTCGTGCAGGATTTTCTCGAGGGATGGTTTGTCTGCCGCTTCATACGTCTCAATCGCTCTTAGACCGTATTGAACCAGTGCTGCCAAACGATCTAAGAAATCTTGCAAGGTTTCGTTTTCGAATTTTAGGAGACCGCGAACCTTGTGAGCATAATATGTAAAGTTGTACTGACCCCTGTACCTTTCAATTAACAATTGAAGAATGTGATCCACGGAATAAATCTGAGTATTGGCTAATAAGTTTTTAACAGGGAGTAAAACTCGTTTTAAAATTTGATGGATACACTGTTCTTTCTTTCCATCTGCAGTGGGTATAGATCCTTTATTGGCTCTAATTGCGTACTCGAATTCGTCGAGTGACGCATGGTCGGATATACCCGAAAATAAGGGGATGCTATTTGAAATATCGCGAGCTTTGATGTAATCATCATATTTATCTGAAGGCGCGGCACCCCCGACGGGAGTAGTGGTTACTGCATCTCCCGAATAGTCGATTGTGATAAAAGATCTATCTGCCATTTTTGTGCGATTTTTCGAGTAACCGGAGATGGAGAGAGAGACCAAAGTTTAAATTGAGGTAGGTATTTCTTCAATTATTAAAGAATATGCGACAATTAATTTGTATAGAACCAAAAACAAAATTGGAATTGATTTACTGAATAAATTCTGTTCTAAATGGAAATTGAATTTCAATTATTTCCTTTTAAATCATTTTTAAATGATGGGATTAACTGTTAATTTGAATTAAAATTTTAAATAGTCCGAGTGACGTGAAATTTCTAATTTTTTATTTAAAATTCACTAGTGAGGTAAGAATAAAGGAAGTTCAGGCGCGTCCTACCGACTGCGCCATGAAATTCAAGCTGTTATGTCCGGAGATGTTACCTGCGTCGAAGGACAAGAATTTTAGTCTTTTAGCTAGAATTTATAATTAAATAAAATGGACGACGCTGCTTTTTTATTCTTACCTGAGGTTGATTTTACTATTGATGGATATGGATTGGAAATTGAATTAAAAACAGATTAGATCAACTTTACACATTTATTTGAATTGATTTTGATACTTCGTACAATTTTAGAGGTTGACACAATGATTATCTGTGAAACCCTGCAATCATTACTAGATCTATCTCTTGAATGTTAACAATGGTAATGACTCACTTTGAGTGGTTCTTAATTATATTTCGTGAATTCTTGAGGTAATCCACCACGTTTCTCTGCCAGCGAACGATTGGTACACTATTACAAATACTTAGGTGGAATTCCCGTCTTCTACTTGTTCGGAATTGATGAAGTTAGAATTGAATAAGTCTTGAGTCTTAATTGTTTATAAAAGTTGAGCCACACCCACGATTCACCAAGTTCACCACTAATTCTCTCAGAAGCAAGAAGCTGTTCTACTTTCGGTTAAAGGAACTTGTATCCCCGAACACTTGCTAATTTATGTTCCCTACTGCTATTCGAGAACACTCCGAATTTCCGAAGATAAGTTCGAACACTAACAAGAGCCGGACCGATTCCAAAAAATACTTCCGCCAAGAAGTCGTAGTTAATTCGCGAGAGGGTTTTCGTGACTGAGGTTTGATTTTTTTGGAGGGGCCTCGCCTTACTTGGGAAAAATGGAAATTTATTTGGAGTGGGGGAGGTGGTGTGATTTCCGCCTCTTTGGTTTCCTGGTTCATCGACCCGGCTCTGTTGTCGAATTTTGCAAGGTTGCGGTCTTTCGTTTTGCAAGTGTTCCCGAGGAGTGCAACGTTGTGCATTCTTTAGAGGTCGATGTCGGTTGGCATTGATTTTGAAATAGGGTGATTTGTGCATTGTTGTTGATGCGGAAGTGATTGAAATAATCTGGACATTACATTACTAATGGATGGCAGCTGGCAATGCTGGTTTTCTGCGTTCTTCTTCTGTGAATCATAGAATGCTGAGGTCTTCTCCAATATGTATCTCTTCACGAGATTACTTGTTGAGGAGTTGTCAGTTCAAAATGGTAGAAATAAATTTAAAAATCTGATACAAAGAATATTATTTGATTCAAATACGTTATGTCTTTGCATACTATCAAAACTCGAACAATATTTAAACAAATCACTATTTGAATGAAAAATCTGTTCTCTTCAATTCTCACCTATGGTTGTGAGTCCAGATGAGGCTGGAGATAGTTTGAACTCTGTCTCCACATCGTCTTTGGTGAAAAATTCTGCAAAAAGGAACATTCACTTAACTATCTTCATTTTTCAAATGGTTGTTAAAACACATATCAATATTCGGAAAATAAATATACCAGTAATCACGGTAGCATTGCAAGTGTCAAGGAACTTTCATTTAACCTGAATTGAATTCCACAGCTTTTGAAACTGCTCCATGTTACCATACAATTAGCGTGGTGAATCTCTCTGCTGTTCCTGTACTTCCAAAACGAATTCGGAATCGTATCCTCGTTTTCTTTCTGCTTTTGTGCTTCAGTGTTTTGAAATTTATTTTTGAGTTGACGATATTTATCGATGATTTTGAAATTCTCCAATAGATAACGTACAGCCTCAAATAAATTGAAAGTCTACATTTCTGGTGGATCGGAACCAAAAATTTCCTCAATGACACGAGAATTTTCATCTTCCCATAGTGGTCTATCTGGTGTATGAAAATACTTCATTATTTCAGGAGCTCCATACTCTTCAATAACTTTTCGATGGACTTTCCAACCTTGATCAGGTCTATCACTAAAATAATGATCCACAAGACCTGTGTAATGATGAGCGTAGGGTGACGCGTTGTGCAAAAATTTATAATGGTCTGGACTCGAGGAATTGATGGTGACAACGGACACTCTATGACTCTAATAAACTGGTATAAATATCGCAAGAATGTTCTAGAATGATGACGAGATATAATGCAACTCACTAAGCAATTTCCCCCACTCCAGACGGTGACCCGTCTTTTTCTCCTCGACATTTCTTCCCCGATTTTTTTTCTCCGACATTTGTTCCTCCCCAAATTTTCCTCGCATCAATTTTTCCCATCCCAATTTTTCCTCGTCACTTTTTCCCTACCACTTTTCCTAATTTTCCGATTCAGTTTGCATATTTGACGTACATTTGCTGAACACAGCTAGCGATGGTAATAATTAGTGGGGATAATCCTTGTTTGGTAAGAATCGACCGAATTACGACAACACGGTCGTTTCTTGATTTTCGAGTGCGTATTGATTTTTCTAATGAGAGGTNAAGAATCGACCGAATTACGACAACACGGTCGTTTATTGCTTTTCGAGTGCGTATTGATTTTTCTAATGAGAGGGGATAATCTTCGGCTTTTGGGGCTGAGCGATTACCAGAAGCATTCAATTATGTCAGTTTCAATAAGTTATTCGCGGGGCTAATCGCCACAATGCCTTTGGAGTTTATTCGTTCGTCGAAAGGGAAGAAAATTTTAATCGTAGATAATCATCTCCATTACTTGCACAGTCATGCTAAGAATTATTCGTGGAAATGTTCTCGCTTTGGGGATTTGAAATGTTCAGGGAGAGTTCTAATAAGTACGGATACTCCTAATGGTAAGTATTTTTATAATTTCATGCCTGTATGTTTTTGAAATTTTGCTGATACTGAGTTGTTGATTTCCCTTTTTCCCTTCATTTTACTGCTCCAAGGGATTATTGTTCGCTTTTGCATTGATGGAAAGAGAAGTGACAGTATGTTTTTGGAAAAAAAATTGGGGAATATATGTCGGGGAAGAAAGGGATATGGAAGAAATGGCAGGAGGAAGAAATGACAGTGAAAAAGTGTCGGGGAAAAAATGTCGGGGAAAAAGTGGTGAGGAAAAAAAGTCGTGGAATCCTCCAGACTTCTGTCATAAAAACTGCGCGATACTTCCAAATGTACAGTTCTCGGAACTGGTGACGTACAATTATGAGTATGACACATAATGATGCAATTGGATCCTTTAAGAAAATCGCGAGTTTTTCTCGAGAGCATTCAGTCGTCCGCTGAATAGTGTAGTGTAAAGATGGAAGCAATCTTGGACATTCAAGGATTTCAAGGTGATCAGAAAACATTCATCATCAAAGACTTAGCAGCAGCGTTCACCAATGACCTTCAACAGATTGAATGTATTCTCTTCAAACCAACCTATTCATGGAAGAAATTATTAGCTAAATCCAAACGTTCTAACACATGGCTTATCTCCAAATTCCATGGCTTACCCTAAAGAGCTGGCTTTACACCGTACTCCGGGCTCCCGTAAGTTGTTTAGGAAATCACAAAAGACGCAATTAACTTCTACGTGAAAGGATTACACAAAATCGAGTGGCTTCCAGGAATTCTCGGAAGTTCTCAATCGGTGAACAACTCGGAAGATTTGAATGATCCGAGATTATCGGACCTCGAACTTCCAAAATGTTTGAATCTCCACAATGACTGCAATCCAATTCCATTTGTTTGTGCACTAAAGAACGTACAAAATTGACAATTTGATATATAATGAGTCACGGTGTCAGTCAGTGCCCATCTTCGGACATCTTCTGTACCCTAAAAAGCTTCATAGGAATGAGCAGCGGTGACATTTCCGTCTTGCCCAAAAAAATTCGGTTGGCATTTGTTTCGCAGTCCATTGAGGATGTTGGGGATGAATTACCTGAAAGCTTGCAAAAGGATGAAGACATTGCAAATTGCCGTAGGTGTCACCTTCATCATTCTTACAACCCACTAATGATGAAAAACCATTCTGGAAGTTAATTCTTCAAGGATATAAGAATTAACTAGGAAAGCATTGAAAGACATTGACACCATTCATCAATCATCAATCATCTATCAAAAAAATCATTTGACAGATTGATAAATGTTATCAAAAAACGAAGTCGTGGAGCAGTGAAAATCCACAACCCAATGCCGGCAAAATTTCCAGGAATGGAAATCCTTAGAGAGCAGTGAACCAAATAACCAAGAAGCTACTCTCTGAAGCAACAAATATAAAAATGAAAAGTATATTGTAAATTATATCTGAAGAATGTAAAATGTTAATTTTCAAAAATGTGATTTTTCAATAAATCGATGAGAAAAGCAAAAATGTGAAGTATTGTCGTTATTAAACTACCCTCCCCATTCAATCTATACGAGTTTAGAAAGCTCTCTGAAATGAGTATAAGAAATCAGAAGTCAGAAATCAGAAATTGAAAATTAACATTCAAACATGGCAATGCAGCAATCAAAGCCCCCAAGCGGAATTGAATCAATTTAACTGTTTTTCAATTATTTTGACAATTGCAAGCGTTGCGTCAAGCCTGCATTGCGTTCATTGTAGAATCTCCTTAACTTATATGATGGCATCCCTCGCCTTCGGTGCGGGCTGCAAACTCATATTCGCCAGAAAAGTTTCTTTTCGGCTTCATCCGCACTGAATTTCCTTGTTGAACCTTTCAACCTTCATCCGACCTACTTAGCTGTTCATATCTTCTTCAAAGAGTAATTCAACCGTACTATTTCAAATGGAACCGTCTGCAAGTGGACCCTTTCATATATATTCGTATTCAATAGCTGAATGAAAAGTCAAAAAATTCACTTTGATTTTGGACTTAAATTCTGTGATAGAATCATCGATTGGACAGCATCACCGTGAAGAACGAAAACGAACTTTTCAAGACCTAGAAAATTATAGAAAATTTATTTACATAAAGTATTTTCAAAAGACTCATGAATGCTGCACTATGTCTCACTTTCCCAAAACTCTCCATATTCTGAGGGTAAAATTTCGCAGCGGTCTGGTTTTGGTTTCATGCTACGCATCAACATGATGGATATTAGTCTTTGCGCCTTGAGAGACATCGCAGACCAATTGCAACTGTAACTGAGATGAAAATTTGGAAAGAAAAAATCGTAATTTCATTTAATTTTCCTAATTTACTAGTACGTACATTCTTTCCGATACTCAACTGCTATGATCAAATAATTCTTGGCCTGGTATACTTATGAATAACAAGTGGAGAATCACGCCACTCCAAAATGTAGCGTATCTAATCACTTCGACTGGCTCATCCATTTTCATAATTATCTGAAATTATTTTATGGTGTATAATGATGCAGGTAAGAGTTCTTATAGAAGCCTAACATGACTACATACTTCAAGTCCTGTAATGCTGATTAGTATCATGGCTAGCAAAACTACGATCCCATACATTATCGTAAATGACGTTTCAATGGATTCCGCCAATCTGTTGAATGATAATGGCTAAATAGAATGGCTTTGACAGGTCGATTTATTCCAGGTGTAAAGTGTCATCAATGAAGGATGTTTTGGATCAGAAAAGGCCACAATGTAAATGCATACGTTATGGCGCGATGATGTATTATTATGCCGTCACATAGGATTTTATATTTCCGCTCTGAAGGAAAATCTGCCTGGATCTGTTGTAACATTTCCCTACGTATTGGAAACAAAACATGAGATAAATATATGATAAAGTATTGTTCGTTTGAAAATATAGCTAAAGAAAATTCACCCAACAGCTTCAAACAGTCAACAACAATGTCGGACTATGATTGAAATGAAAGTATCGGTTGTTACTGAATAATATACCACGATCGTCACAGTAAACAACCCATGCATTGTTATCATAAAATGATAGTCATTCGCATTGATGCCGAAGACAGAGTAATCGGTTTGCAACACAAATATTTTTGGTCTTGATTCGTTGAGAGGAAAGATCATATCAAGGATTAGTGGCTTCAAAGGAAACAGACAGAAAATTACTACTGCAGAGTAGAGGATAACTGAAATAGAAAATGTACAAAAAAATTTTCGTTTGAATGTTTGACATATGAAAATGTTCATATTAACAAATTTAAAGCAGAAACTCAACCCAGAGACACTTCGACATGAGACTTTTGAAAAGGAAACTTTTCAAGCGATGAATCGATCTGAACTACTTCAGCATTCGCTGATTTTTGATAATTCAGCATATGTATGTTATTATCGGTATAGAATTGAAGAGGGTCTCGAGCATGACGGAAGTTCCTTCGGAAAAGAATAAGTAAAAATTGGAAAAGAAATTCACCATGTGCCACATTCCTAGAATTTCTCCAGTATCTAGTCTCATTAGTTCTACAAGTCCGAAAATGATATCATTATCTATCGAATTATAAATTCCATGAAAAATATATACATAATTTGAACTCAAAAAATCCGATATGGACAATATAAGGAGAGTCTAACCTAGGTATTTCATCTTATTTCTATTGCGAAATCGATTTCTCCAAGTTTCATGACACTTAGAAGAAAAATTGAAATTTCATGGACAGTCCATCAGTAATTTTCAGGAAAGTGGCATTGAATGCGATTTAATGGAAAGAAAATAATAAAATTTTAGAGTTCATGGAAAAATCAATGAAATTCCGAAGGTTTTTGGAGCGTTGAGATGAAAATTCCTCAACCTACTTAAAATTTTAATAAATTAACGAATATTTAATGCCGTATGGTGATGAATTTTCAATGAATCATATTTGCCGGAAATTTCCTGATCTTGCCTATTCTTTAAGAAAAAATTGAGCCGAAACTGATAGTTCTCCTTCATTTTTCCATAAAATTCAAAATTTTCAAGAACGAAATTCATTGAAATTTCAGTGGAACTAAAATGTCATAAAAATTTCTGAAAAGTGTACTGGAAATTTTAGCCA